ATAAATGAGTACACTCCACAATATGTGTCAGAAAACCTTTAGTTCCCTTTCAAAATCAACTTTTTCTATGAGATACTAAACTACAAAACACTCCCAGGAATGTGGGCAATTGATTGTAAACACGATTTGTTGTGTGATTTTCCTAACAAATCTATTCAAGTCCATGATGCAAAAATGAGTACACCCCAGTTATAGTCTTAGGAGAAAAACCACACTTCCCTGCAAACAGTCAACGTCTATATTGAGTCTGTTGGTCCAGACCATGTAGGACGTCCAAACTAGGTCTTTGCACAGTGGGTTAAGACTACAAAATTCCAGTAACAGGCATTCAACCACAGGTGAGTCTAATGAATCATTTAAAAGGTATCCAGCAGACAGGTGACTATAAAAGGGCGTCACTTACCAAAGAAAAGCCCTTCCCATTTCATACTGTCATCAATGGCTCCACATGGAAGAGAAATGTCACATAATCTGAGAAAGGAAATCTTTTCTGTACACAAAAAAGGTGAGAACTACAAGAAGATCTGCAAAACTTTACATATCAGTCAAAATACGATAGCAAAAGTGATCCAAAAATCTAAGAAAGATGGAAGTGCAACCATCTTACAGAGACATCCAAGCCATCCACAGAAGGTAACATCTTAACAGGAGCGTCTTCTGATGAGAAGGGTTGAAGAAAATCGCTGTGCATGTTCACTGCAAAAAGCTAAAACAGTAGAAAACCAAACTGGAGTCACCGCTTCCAGTGACACCATACGACCCATACTGCAGAGGAATGGGATGCACGGGTATTGTCCACGAAGGAAGCCTCTCCTAAAGCCCATGCACAGAAAAGCACAACTAGGATTTGCTAGGGCCCATGCTGAAAGAGAGGAAGACTACGGAGACTCTATACTCTGGAGTGATGAGACAAAGATCACTGGTTTTGGAACTAATGGTTTCAAAACTGTGTGGCATCATAAAGGTGAGGATTTCAAAGAGAAATGTATGGTGCCTACAGTGAAACATGGAGGTGGCAGTGTTCATATGGGGCTGCATGAGAATTCTGACGTAGCAAGTTGAGCATCACTCTCCATCCAGCATCCGGCTCTAAAAGAGGTTATTCTTGAAGAATGGAAAAAGATAGATGTTGCAATATGTCACCAACTAGTTAATTCCATGCCTAGAAGACTTGGTGCTGTCCTTGAAAACCATGGTGTTCACACAAAATACTAGACGTAGTAGGTTTTGTTGGGGGCATATTCATTTTTGCCCCAACCAATTTTAGTAAAACTGAAGATTTTGTGATCTAAGTTATTATTATTATTATTATTATTATTATTATTATTATTATTATTATTATTATTATTATTATTATTATTATTACTAATTTCCCTCTGGGATTAATAAAGTATCTTTGAATTGAATTTGAATTAGAATTCATGTTATGGAAGTGGTCAGTAAAACCCAACCTTGAGAAAATTCAGAAAATAGTTTTTTTGTTCATTGAGCTACTGATCAAATTCATACTTTTCAAAGGGGTGTACTCATTTATGCTGAGCACTGTACATTTCACTGAAATATCAAGTTGTTGGTCATTGATAAAATATTGTGAGATATTTTCATAGTCCTATTTTATAGTATTTGCTTCTGATTCATTGTTAGCTCAACACTAGCCTCCAGCCTGCTTTAACCAATATTAAAACAAGAAGATGCCGTGGCTTCTTAAGGGTACAAGAAAAACTTCTGGGTTGCTCCTGTTTACTGGCTTTGGTTCTTCAAATGACTCTGGAGCTTTTTGCCGGCTGATGTCAAATTACAAATACCTGTGCTGCAGCATTAGCTCTCCGAAGACACTGCAGCCTCACAAACTCACCGATTGTGAAGACTACCTACGTACTTCTTGCATATTTTTTGAAGGGAGAAAAATTGACAACCTTCCAGCCAGCTGAGAATGAAATGTAGTTCAACATGATTAGGACATCAGACTGTAGAACTTGTTGCTCCTTCAACAGCCTTTCATTGTCAAGCCAGTAATCCCAAAACTACTGCTCATATCTACAAACATCTGCATCCAGGTTGCAGTTGCGCTCTTGAAATCACCAGTGCATGAACTTCTTATCTATAGTGCATCTCCAATTACTGAACTTATTTTATGCTGCTATGGTCAGTGTGAATTTTCTTTTCTTTTTTTGTTGTTGTTGTTGTTGTTGTGTTTTGACTTTGCGGTTAAAGTTCCTTGTCAGTATGCTGTTGAATAGAAGTTCCTCATGCCCTAAATGTTTTAAAACAACGCCTGATTATGGTACATTCCCAACAACCTAAGCCCCATCTGCCTCCAGATGTCTTTCTGCGTGTTGCTTGAGCTCAGCTAGCATATTATAAAAAGGAGCAAAATAGAGATCAGCATGTCCGCATTGGACCTCATATGCCAATATCACTGCTCAGCTAAATTAGTTTGCTAAAAATAGAAACCTGATAGAATAGCAATCTACCCAACTCCCACCACCTGGCCAGTAGTCACCAATTTAGATGGAAACTTAGACTCAGCTTGGATTGTGCTGTCTGCTACAAATGCCTCAAAATAAGGGAATAAGTTGTGTGGCAACCCAGTAAATGAGTATTGATCTCTGTGTGTACCCAACACCATTACTCCTACGTGCCTGGGCGTTAAACTTATGGTAAATTGTTGGGCTTAATGCTGACACCATAATGGCATCACTGCAGTAGCGGCTGGCTGCTTAATCCTATCTCACATGATCTATTCTGTCTGCAGTCACACAGAATTTTCCACTAATAACAAAGTTGAGTTTTGGAAGCAAACAAAAGAGCAAGCCTGTACTGTAACTTTAGTTTTTTGTTTTTTAAGTTCTGCAGTAGCCGAGTCACATAAATAGATTGATGATTAATAGTTTTCTGTGCTATTTTCTCATTTTCTATTAAACCAGATCATAAAGTAAAAAATTCTTGCATAGGGAACACTTCCATTATTTATCTCACTAAAACAGACAGAGAAGGCTCAAGCTGATTCTCAAGCTGATTTTTACCGTAGCATCTAATTTGTCCACCTCTGGAACAATATGTGACTCGCTGCTGTTCTGCAGGTCAGACTTCCCGTTTTAAATGAAAGTCACAACTTGTTTTCCTAAAGTAATTTCTCAACTCTTACATTTTTCTTAACGTGTCAAGGTTAACAACTACAGACATTTTCTTCTGCTTTTCAAGCTGTTATCTTCACATACACACATTTTGCCCCGCATAAGCCAATTAAACAATGTTCAGCTTTCATTTGCAACACACCGCTGTATCATACTTTCTGTAAAATGTGCTTTGTAAGAAGTTAAAAGTAGACTTTGTTCTCTTTAAGAGGATTTTAAGGGTTTCCATTCATCATAAATGCTGCCTTTTCCAGCAGTACTTGTGGATTTTTTCTTTTGCTTTTGTTTAAGATGTTGCACACCGGTACAATAATAAGTGTGCCTTTTTTTGCATGGACGTGTTGACTGTAACATAAATCCTACATGTGTGAAAAGGGAGGAAATGTAATCCGTATATGTGCATGAAGGAGGTGGTATATGTTTGCAGCCTGGACAGCAGGAGGCCCTTTGGTATTATTTGCAGCTGTGTGAGCTCTGTCACAAACGGCTGTGAGACGCTACTGGCTACTGGGGTTATTTAACAACTCTCTGGGAGGTCTGAGAGCCTAAGCACAGGTGCAGCACTTAGTTTCAAATGCCTTTCCCTGTAGGATGAAATATTGTGTGAGCAGTCATCATTTCTAACAGTATGGGACTGTTTTGGTCTTAAATGGCATTGATAACCAACTGGGCAGGATAGAGAAGGAGTTTACTCTTTTGCATAAACTATCTTAGGTGAGTCAGTTTTATTTTTATTTTTAGTATTTGTTATATATATATATATATATATATATATATATATATATATATATATATATATATATATATATATATATATATATATGGTTTTATATTTATTTTTAGTATTTGTTTATGTATATATATATATATATATATATATATATATATATATAGTTTTCTTTTTAGTATTTGTTTTATATATATATATATATATATATATATATATATATATATATATATATATATATATATATATATATATATATATATATATATATATATATATGTATATATATATTTAGTAATTTTAAAGTTAGAGATGTAAAAACAATAACACTTCATTCACCCTCAGCCGAATCGTGCTTTTCTCTTTCTGTACTCTTGTTGTGTTTCTGCATCACTTTGACTAAACTCTGCCAAATTATGCATGGTTACAGCTTAGGCAGCATCGTGGACCTGTACAGTAAGTGACACCTAAACCCTCTTTTATTCAGGCAAGACACAAACACAAGAACACCCTGAAAGTACTTTCCTCGGGCAGCAGGTGTGTTTTTGACAGAATGTGCAACTGTTTCACTCCCCAGAAAGCCAAATTTCAACAAAAAGTTGAGAAAAAAGTTTCCCGTTTTCTATCATCTGATTTTTGCTGCGTAAAACCGTCACAAAAAAGTGCAGTTTAAAATCATGTTTTGTTTTGTTTTATTTTTTTCAAAACTGATAGAGAATGAAAATAGTAAAAGTTTAAGTGCAATTTGCTGGATGTCATGATACAAAGGTGTTGGTTGCAATCTCTCTTTTTCACTGAAGGCTGTGGGCTATGACCTTGTTGAGTTAGATGTTAAGTTGTGAAACAGAGCTAGAAATCCATTCACAGCATGCATACAAATTGTCCGAAACTACTTTGAAATTATTTTTAAGAGAGAGCACTTGGTTACTAAAATGACAATTCTGTCAAAAAATATCTTAACTTGGTAAAATAGGCTTATAGCACCATCTACTGGTGATTCACGGGATTCCCAGCTACACTCATGCACTGTTCCTCTCTGTTACCTCCCCACCCCGCTCTGCTTTACTTTATGTATGCTGTATTTATCCCTCCCTAACCATGTTACCTCTTATCTCACTCTCTTTGACTCTCTCTAGAATATGCCAGAGCATTACAATGAGCTCCAACAGCACAGACCCTGGTCTCCTTCTGACTGCCAACCCTTCACCATCAGTGGCCAGAGCCTACCCACAATCCCGTGGCCTTCATCAAGAAGAAATTGCTTTTGATGATGACCCCTCTTTCATCAACAAAACCTTCAACTTTACTTTACCAATCGACAATGCCCTTGACCCCCTGGGTGGTCACCCTGTGTGGCAAGTAGTCATAATTGTCTTGCTGACAGGAACATTGTCTCTAGTCACCATCGTCGGCAACATACTGGTAGTGGTGTCCTTCAAGGTTAATCGGCAGTTAAAGACAGTGAATAATTACTTTCTTCTGAGCTTAGCTGTGGCAGACCTCATTATAGGGGTCATTTCCATGAACCTCTACACGCCTTACCTTATAATGGGCTACTGGGCCATGGGCACCTGGGCCTGTGACCTCTGGCTGGCTATTGACTATGTTGCAAGCAATGCATCAGTTATGAACCTACTAGTCATCAGCTTTGACCGCTACTTTTCAATTACCAGGCCTTTGACCTATCGAGCAAAGCGAACCACCAAGCGAGCTGGGGTCATGATTGGATTGGCTTGGCTTGTTTCTTTTATTCTGTGGGCCCCAGCCATTCTCTTGTGGCAGTATTTTGTAGGCAAAAGAACAGTGCCCTTTGATCAATGCTATATTCAGTTCCTCTCAGAGCCAATAACAACCTTCTGCACAGCCATGGCAGCGTTCTATCTGCCTGTGACAATAATGATTATTCTCTATTGGCGTATTTACAAGGAGACGGAGAATCGCTCAAAAGAATTGGCTGAGTTGCAGGGTTCGGGAGGCCGTGGTGGGACAGGTAGCAGAGTAGGAAATCTTGGAAGTGAAAGAGCCAGTTTTGTCCACCAGACAGGAAGTTCCAGAAGCTGTGGTAGCTATGAGTTGACCAGATCATCAAAGAAAGGGAGTACGTGTAAAAAGCTTGTTGGGCGATTCCACTGCTGGCCTGGGGTTCGTTCTTGGAGACCTGGTAGTATCCGTCATGGAGACGGAGATCCAGACCAGAGCAGCAGCGACAGCTGGAACAACAATGATGCTGCAGCCTCTTTGGACCACTCTGGGTCCTCTGAGGATGAGGACTGTGGGAGAAAAGAGACAATTTCCCAGAGTCATGCAATATTTTCCATAGTTCTTAGCCTCCCTGGCATTAGGGCCGCCGTCAACTCCCAGCTTACCTCATGTGAAGATCTAGATGCAGCTTCAGAGGAGGATCCACTAAAAGGAGCTGAGTATAGCCGCGACAGCCTGTCAACTGTCACAACCAATACCACTAATCCCATCACACCTGAGGGCACAAACAATATGGAAAACAGCTTCAAACAAGGCATTTGTTCACAAAAAGCTCTATCAATGTCCACAATTCAGGCTAAATGCAACCAAGAGGTAACTGATGGCACCCCAACGCCCACTACCAATGACAGCAATGCCACTAGCATAGCCACCAAGTCCTCATCTGTCCCACTGTCATTTAAAGAAGCAGCAATGGCAAAGCGTTTTGCAGCTCGAACTCGGACTCAGATCACCAAGAGAAAGCGGATGTCTTTGGTGAAGGAGAAGAAGGCAGCTCAAACCCTCAGTGCCATCCTCTTAGCTTTTCTCCTCACATGGACCCCTTACAACATCATGGTTCTGATTAATGCCTTCTGCACCGATTGCATCCCAGACACCCTGTGGGCTTTAGGGTACTGGTTGTGCTATGTCAACAGCACAGTCAATCCCATGTGCTACGCACTGTGCAACAAGACTTTCCGTACAACGTTTAAGATGATACTGCTGTGCCGCTGGGATCAGAAAAAAAGAAGGAAGCTGCAGTTTCAGCAAAGGCAGTCGGTGGTCTTCCACAGGGGGATTCCCAGGGAATCTACATAAAGGACTGAAACCTCAAACTGTGGATTAGAGAATTTTGGAGTTTATCCCAGGACAAGGAAAAGAAAGGAGCCTCCATGTTGTTGTTTCTGTGGAGTTTCTTTGATAAGAGTTCCTTAAAGTCCTTCTCAGCTGATGTTTAAACAGCTACCCTATGTGCTGGTCCTAAGGGATGTTTTAACGTCAGTGCATCCATTTACTATGGTAAAGGGATACCATGTGTGAAGATTAGCCAAGGGTGAGGCCCGGAGTTCAAAGCTCTCCCTTTCTCTTTGAAGAACTCCAGAATGTCACACTTCTGAGGATGCATAAAAAAGAGTGGGAAATAAGTGTAAAGGGCTTTTAAATTATATTGCAGGAGAAATGTTGAAGTGCAATTGACACAAATTATAAGCATGTCTATGACACGGGTTGGGTATTTACATTTTCTATCATATCCCTCTGTGGGTAGTTAGATTTGTAATGTGCTGAGTGGTTTTTCATTTCAAACCAAAGTGTGTATTTGTAGCTTGTTCCTGAGAGCCGAGGTAAAAAGTGAAGACTTGTGTTCAATGGCTTCTACATTTTACCAGTTTGCAGTGTCTTCTTCCTGACTGGCATGTGTTTTTATCTAAACTTCCGTGGATTCGATTTCTACATGGATATGATTCTCCTGTGTATTATGTAAAAATGTTCTTAAACTGTGTTCTTACTTTCAGTCGGCAAAGACATGTTCCTTTGTAAAAATCATCTTCGGGTTTCTTGGTACTCCAGAGATTTTGAGCCACTTTGAAAAGGATTATTTTGACGAAGTATGTTGTGAATATTCTGTGGTACCACAGTCAGTGAACCACTGTTGAGTTCAATGTGATTGTTGTGATTTTTATGGTGGACACAATAAGTGAACTGGTTGTGTTTTTATGTGCTTGCAACTCCCTGTTGAAGAAAACAATGATAACGTTCTGTTTGTGTACATTTGGGTCATTCTGGATTGATACATCAAGATTGTTTACACACACACACACACACACACACACACACAAACACACACACACACACACACACACACACACACACACACACACACACACACACACACACACACACACACACACACACACACACACACACACACACACACACACACACACACACACACACACACACACACACACACACGTGTTCATTGTTAAAGACACTTGCTTAAATTTCTACAAATGTATGAGGGAAATTATTTTGTTGAGCCTTCTTCAAATCATAAGACCAACTGCACCCTCTAGTGGCCAACATAAAGAAGTGTAATTTTAGCTTCTATGGTGAAAAGTCTTGGATGGAAACAAAAACCCTTATTCCATAACTTTGAATATTTTTATACTATATGCCTACAAATCAGATATATTTTATGTGAAAAGGAACGTCACAATCACCGTGGTGTTTTGTTTTTAGTGATTTTTCTACTCTTTGGTTGATTTCTGAATGAAATATTTGTTCCTTAAAATAAATATTAATTTTTGTGGCATATGATTAGTATATACAGTTGACACCTGGTTTGGAATACAGTGTATTTTTTCATACAGAAAGTAGAAAAACACCACACACCCACCACAAATTGTAATGCACATTATGTTTATATTATCCTGATTCAGTTTTTTATGAAGTATTACACTCAGATGTGACAGTATTATGTGAAAAACATACTGAATTTAAAAGATATTATGTAATATAACAAAAGAAAATTGCTAAGAGTTAATGCAGTAAGCATATTTATGGTATGACAGAATTTTGTGTAATTCAGATTTTTTTTAATCCCTATTTTAACAGAATGTGCTCCAGTGTCATTACAATATGATTTAACAGAAATCAGTTTCTTTTCAAGTATGCCAATCATTTCCTCATTTGAATTCAATAAACAAAAACATATCATTTGTTTGTGTCACAAGTTGTGGTTGTTTAAAATTGTCGATAAAAGTACATTTTTATTCCTATCAAATTACAGCATTAGCATTTACACTAACTTTATTGAAAGAAGTCACCATTCTTAAGTATTTAGTATTTGTATATGATTTAGGTACAATTTTTGGAGTATGAGCAAAGTTTCTTAGCCCTAAGTTTTTATAAGGAGGTTGCTCTCTCTGATTATAAATGGATTCATATTCTTGAAGCTTCTACTTAAAACCAAATCTAGCATTGTCTTTATTTTCATAGCAAACAGATTTGTTGATATGATTTCAATTTGTAAGAATTTTACTGAAGGTGATGATTCAGATACAGTTGTGGTCAGAAGTTTACATACACTTGTAAAAAATATAATATAATGGCTCTACTGAGTGTCCCGTTACTTCTAAAACTCAGATTTTTCTCTGATAGAGTGATTGGAACAGATACTTCTTTGTCACAAAAAACATTCATGAAGTTTGGTTCTTTAATGTCTTTATTATGGGTTAACAGAGAAAAGTGATCACATTTGCTGGGTCACAAATATACATACAGCAACATGAACTAGCAATTTAGGTGACTTAGAAACGTGTCAGTGAACTGAGCTTCATAGCATGGCCTCTTAACTTCTTGTGAGGGATTATGAGTGACTACAGCGGGTGACTTCTCTTAGGGCAGGTAAATAGGGCTCATTGGATACAAACGCCCACAAACGCTACAATGGGAAAGTCAAAGGAGCTCAGCATGGATCTGAAAAAGCGAATTATTGACTTGAACAAGTCAGGAAAGTCACTTGAGGCCATTTCAGAGCAGCTGCAGGTCCCAAGAGCAACAGTGCAAACAATTGTTTATAAGTATAAGGTGCATGGCACTGTTTCATCACTGCCAAAATCAGGAAGAAAATGCAAGCTATCACCTGCTGCTGAGAGAAAATTGGTCAGGAGGGTAAAGAGTGAACCAAGAATCACCAAAAAGCAGATCTGCCAAGAATTAGAAGCTGCTGGAACACAGGTGTCATTGTCCACAGTCAAACGTGTTTTGCATCTCCATGGACTGAGAGGCTGCCGTGCAAGAAGGAAGCCCTTGCTCCAAAAGTGGCACCTTAAGGCTCGACTGAAGTTTGCTGCTGATCACATGGACAAAGATAAGACCTTCTGGAGGAAAGTTCTGTGGTCAGATGAAACAAAAATTGAGCTTTTTGGCCACAATGCCCAGCAATATGTTTGGAGGAGAAAAGGTGAGGCCTTTAACCCCAAGAACACCATGCCTACAGTCAAGCATGGTGGTAGGAATATTATGCTGTGGGGTCGTTTTGCTGCCAATGGAACTGGTGCTTTACAGAGAGTAAATGGGATAATGAAGAAGGAGGATTACCTTCACATTCTTCAACATAACCTCACTTCATCAGTACGAAGGTTGGGTCTTGGGCGCAGTTGGGTGTTCCAACAGGACAATGACCCCAAACACACATCAAAAGTGGTAAAGGAATGGCTAAATCAGGCTAGAATAAGGGTTTTAGAATGGCCTTCCCAAAGTCCTGACTTAAACCCCATTGAAAACATGTGGACAGTGCTGAAGAAACAAGTCCATGTCAGAAAGCCATCAAATTTAACTGAACTTCACCAATTCTGTCAAGAGGAGTGGTCAACGATTCAACCAGAAGCTTGCCAGAAGCTTGTGGATGGCTACCAAAAGCACCTAATTGAAGTGAAAATGGCTAAGGGACATGTAACCAAATATTAGCACTGCTGTATGTATATTTGTGACCCAGCAAATGTGATCACTTTTCTATGTTAACCCATAATAAAGACATTAAAGAACCAAACTTCATGAATGTTTTTTGTGACAAAGAAGTATCTGATCCAATCACTCTATCAGAGAAAAATCAGTTTTAGAAATAACGGGACACTCAGTAGAGCCATTATATTATATTTTTTACAAGTGTGTGTAAACTTCTGACCACAACTGTATATGTTTCTGTAATGAGTTAAATTCCCCAATGTGGGATTAATAAAGTTCATTCTATTAACTTGATTTCAGACCCATGGGATTGTTTTAAAATTTCTTTAAATATATAGGTACTGGTCATACAATTAGAATATCATGACAAAGTTTATTTCAGTTATTCTATTAAAAAGTGAAACTTCTGAAATCATTACACACAGACTGATACATTTGTTTATTTGTTGATTATAGCTGACAGCTAATAAAAACCCAAGATTCAGTATCTCAGAAAATTTGAATATCAATTAAGACCAATGCAAAAATGGATTGTAGAAATGTTGGTCAAATAAAAAGTATGAATATGAAAATAATGGGCATGTACAGCACTCAATATTTAGTTGGGGGCTCCTTTTGCCTGGATTACTGCAGCAATGTGGCGTGGCCTAGAGTCGATGTCTGTGGCACTGCTCAGGTGTTATGAGAGGCCCACGGGGCTCTGATGGCCTTCAGCTCTGCTGAATTGTTGGGTCTAGTATATAGCATCTTCCTCTTCACAATACGCCATAGATTTTCTATGTGGTTAAGGTGAGGGTTAAGGCATAGGTGGAGACGTATTTCATCCACACTTCCTGTTGAAAAACGCCTCTGAAAGAGGTGTCACCTGGCGGACCGAGAGAACGGCACTGAGGCAGTGGTAGACCGCACCCCCCTCCTCCCCCTGAGTGGCTGAGCCAGGTGGAGGTACGACTGCCTCACCTGGAGACCAGTGCAGTGCAGCCATGTAGTAATTTGCTGACAACATCACATATTGCAGCTTAGCCATCAGCCACAGCTGATTCTAAAGATAATTATGGTTTTAGGCTGAAATATTAAATTTAAAGTAAGTTGCACTAAACTGCCACACTAATAATTACACATGTGTACAACACCATTAGACGCTCATCTATGCAGGTTATGAGCAAAAACAAAGTTAATTTAGGTGTTACTTGCTCTTTAAGGTTAGTTGAGTTTGCTGTCCAATCAGGAACAGGGATACCATGGCCCTTAAACCAGGTTCTGGTGCCAAGTCCTGTTAGAAAATTAAATCTGCATCTCCATAAAATTGGTCAGCAGCAAGAAGCATGAGGTGCTCTAAAACTTCCTGGTAGATGGCTGTGTTGACCTTCGACCTCAGAAAACCCAGTGGACCAAGGTGACATGGCACCTCAAACCATCACTGACAGTGGAAACTTTACTCTGGACCTCAAGCAACATATATTATGTGGCTCTCCTCTTTTCTTCCAGACTCTGGGACCTTGATTTCTAAAGGAATTGCAAAATTTACTTTAATCAACGAACGTAAATTTGGACCGCTCCGCAGCAGTCCAATCCTTTTGTCTTTAGCCCAGCTGAAGATGCTTCTGATGCTGTCTCTTGTTCAAGAGTGGCTTGACACAAGGAATGCAACAGCTGAAACCATGTCTTGAAAATGTCTCTGCATGGTGGTTGTTGAAGCACTGACTCTAGCTGCAGTCCACTCATTATGCATATCCCCCACATTTTTCAATGGGTTTTGCTTCACAATCCTCTCCAGGGTATGGTTATCCCACTTTTTTCTACCACTTCTTGTCCTTCCCTTTTCCTCTCCAATGCTGTGCTTGGACACAAAGCTATGTGAACAGTCAGCCTCTTTAGCAATGACCTTTTGTGTCTCGCCTTCCTTGTGCACGGTATCAATGGTCGTCTTTTGGGCATGATTGTGTGGCCTGCAGAACTAGACTGAAAGTCCATTAAAAGGCTTTTGCCGGTGTCTTGAGTTAATTAGCTGATTAGAATGTGACACCAGGGCTCTTAAATGTTGTACCTTTTCACAACATTCTAATATTCTGAATACTGAATTTGGAATTTTCGTTAGTTGTCAGTTACAATCATCAACATTAAAGAAATAAACTTTTGAAATACATCATTCTGTGAGAAATTAAGGAATCTAAACAAGTTAACATTTTTAATGGACTGCATCTAATTCAACCACGGGGAGTTTAATTATGATTCAAATAAATAATAAAACACTGCAGGTGCTGGTTCTAAAATTAGAACATCATGACAAAGATTCCATTCAAAAAGTGAAACGTACATTGTTGGTCTTGAAAGCTGCAGCTGAAGCTCATTTGCTGATTGGAGGAAATAACTTTAAAGCTGCACCAGATCCAGAAATGTTAAGAATTTACCTGAGCTTGTGTTTGGTTCTGAAGACAGTTCATCTTAACCTTTACTGATTGTTCAAGTGTTACTATAGAGCAGCAAAATTGGTGTATTGAGTGTCTAATTTCCACCAAATAAGCTGCCTTCTACACACCTCTGTTTATTCCCCTGATTAGACTTGATGAAGTCAGTGAGGGAAGTCATAGATAATGTTAAATGGAAGATGGCCATGGAGGCCGAGCATGTGATGAGAAAAATACCAGCTTCATGTGACCCATGGCTAAGGAGCGGCTCAGAGACAGTCACCCGTTTGTGTTGTTTTCTTCAGTCAGCACTAAACCAGAGAGGACTGTTTACCCGTCAGGCAAGTACACCACTATTTGATTCATTTTTAAGAGTTAAAATAAAAAAAAAAACTTAAGATTTTACTATCTCATATTCTGAGATCTTGATTAAGATTTTTATTTATTTGAAAGAAAGTTGTATTTGTGTGTGTATATATTTATATATATACATAGATATTATTTTTTTGCTGTTGGTGCCTAGCATTAACTCATTAGCAAAAAACAAAATCAACTTGTTTCTATGTTTTATCAAACAGAAACATTAAGAGGGTATAATTCAGCACATATAAAATGATTTGTAATTCAGGAAGATTTGATTACAACTGGCCATAGTGGCTTTATTAGGGCAGTTATACTTTTATTCTAGTTTACTTTTACTCCAAAAATAAAAATGATAGATTTAAAAACGTTTGAACCAAAAGTTCCATTTTTATTTTAACTCACCAATTGAACTTAATTGGTAATATTCATTGCTCAAAGATATAACAAAATGTTTAGGATTTTTACATTTCATCTTTCGGAAAGCTAAGCATCATTAAAAATGTATTTATTTTTAAAATAAAAGTTTGTTTGACACACATTTTAGAATCTTGATCAGTTTTCAATGTATTTTTACAATATATATATATATATATATATATATATATATATATATATATATATATATATATTTTTTTTTTTTTTTACTGGATGGCTATAATGAGTTGGTTAAGGTTTAAGTTTTTGAGGTTATTTGGGGGCCATTATAAGGAAATGTGTCCCTTATGTTCCTCAATGAAACATGTCAACACTATATTTTGTATGTAGAGTCCCTAAGTCATTTTAAACTTTGTCCAAAACTATAAAAACAACAAAGCAATTTGTGGAAGAAAATGTGATTTCTGAACAGTTCAATGTTAGATTTGCAACAATGAACAGTTCCACAACATGCATTTCTGGAGAGATGCGTGTCTGGCTGCAGGAGAAATTACAACAGAGTATGATGCTGCTGTACTGTAGGGGCTGCACAGGAATGTGGTTGAGCTGTGGCCATTTTTACTACTTTGCAGGTTTTACCTTGTTACCTGCCTTCTTCCGTGTCACATATTGATATTTTGTCTGTAAAATCAAATGAGACATCTAGAAAAAGAAACTATAAACTCAAGCTAAAGAGTTCAGAGTTCAACATGCTGGCTTTGAACATTTTCTAAAAACAAGTGTGTGCGATTTTAATGTCTTGTGCTTCCACCTGTGCAGATTCACATCCTTCTGGATGAAGCCACAGAGCTCATAATGCACAGCATTAAGACAGTAGAGACTCAAGTTCCTTTTCTCAAAGAGAGCTTCTTCACCAGCACTTTCAAAGGCAGGAGAAAGAGCAGCATGACCCACATCCTCCATAAGCAGAACTCACTTTTTCATCAACAGGCGTGCATTCTAGAGCACCAGCAGTACAGTCCAAAGCAGCTTCTTCCCAGCACAGATGAAAATGGAGCCAGACGGCACACTCCAGAGCATCAACGGCTTGCCCGCTCGATCAGCAGCCCATTATGCAAGCCAGCGGAGTCTGCACAAGCATACGAGACTGGAAAGGAGGGGCAAAACGAGAGAAAGGATCAGAGACTGAGTGAAGCTGCGAAAGGGAGGAGGGGAGAGCCCGTAGCTGTCAGTTCCAGTCTCCTCCTCCTTTCATCATCAGCGACACTGGGAGAGCCAGCGTCATCCTCTCAGCTGCTTTCAACTGTGGTGGGCAGACAGCGGGGATTATCCAGCTCTGAGAGAGGTTTTACCACTCAAGAACCTACATCAGTAGAAGCCCAAGGGGAAACCCAGCATGCCCAACCTCGACCTCAACATCACGGCCTCTTAGCCAAGGGTGTGCGCCTGCTCAAAAACATGGGTAACCAGGAGACCAAGCAGAAGAAAGGAGGAGGAAGTGGAGCAGCAGGATTTGTGGGATGTGAGGGTGAGACTGATGAAAGAGAAGTGGATAAGCATTCGAAAAAGTCTCATGGTAAGCTTGGAAAAGGAGAACACAAGAAGAAATCAAAGCCAGAGTTGAAGGGTTCCATGTTTTCTGGCATGAAGATAAGGAAAAGTTTATCCAAAGTGAAAGGATTGTCCAAAGATGACATGTTGGATGATGGGAGATCAGCACAAGGTAGTCATGGTGAGTTCAAGTCTAGTGCAGAGGATGGCCAGTCTCCTGAATCGATGCTATCAGACATCGAAGCCGATCTTAGTCACTTGACTGTAGACGATCACCAGTCTATGGAGGAATTTGGTAGGAAGACAAGCTCAGGATCGGATGCTGACCTTTATAGTTTTCACTCTGCAACAGCTGAAACTGAAGATCTGCTTTCTGACATCCAACAAGCCATTCAGGACCAACGTATAGCCAGCAACAGGGTACTAGGAACAGTTCCCAGATCTTTGTCTGAGGGGTCAACCTCTGAGGTGAGTGAAGTATTTGAGCTCAGAGTATCTCCCAAACCATGTATTGTGGGCCGAGGTCTGTTCTCTCCTCCTGTTGGGGATGTAAACAAAACTCAGCAACCTGAATGTGAGAAAAGAGAGAACGACAGTAGCAACAGACCCGTGCTACGGAAATCCTCAAGTGAAAGTGGTCCGTCCTCTGCTCCAGACACTGAGTGGAGCAGTGGCAGTGTTTTTCCCAAAACTAACAGCACCTACAGCTTCCAGGACACGGCCACCACCACCTCATACGAGAGTGCTGAGGAGCACCAAGAGGACCTGGATAGCCCTGATCCTAATCCACAGCTGAGTCTAGATGGCTTTGCTGCTGAAAGCAACCGCTCATGTGTGCCAAGTGTCCGTTTGGATCTTGTACTGCCAGAGGCAGACTCAGTCGGGCCTCACAAGAGTGCAAGCAGTCTGGATCTTTCCACTGAGAGGGATGAAGATGAAAGTGTGAATCGGGACTTTTTGTCCCTTAGACAGAGGAAGAGTAGCATGTCGTTCAACCAGCTGACAGCAGACAGCCCAGCTGCTTCTCTGTCTAGACGGGCGTCTGCAACCTCCAACTCTACTGTCAAACTTTACCCTCCTGTCCACCCATCCTATGTCAAAACCACCACCAGGCAGCTCACTTCTCCAATTGGTTCTCCCCTTACAAGCCCCAACGTACCAAGGAAAACCGATATCACCCTTGCTTCATTAGAATCCAGCGAAGGCCAAGAGTTTGGAAGGCGGAAGCAGAGGTCTAGCTCCATTGCTGGACTCCACAGTGCCTCTGTCGCGCTAGAAGAGTTGGGAGAACAACACACTGGTGTTGCCAAATTCCCAGAGCTGGAAACCCCAGAGAAGAATTCCACAGGCATTGGAAATTATTGGACTTTGGGCTCCAAGAGAGCACGGTATGGAAGGAAAGCCTCCACTTCTGCAGCACCCTACCTGGATGTCTTCTCTGGTGAGTTGCATATAAATCAGTACTTTACATCTACTAATGAACTGACCTCGCTTTTTTCAAACCGGTGTCACTCTGTCTGTATCAGTGTTGTCAGGCCCTTCAAAAGCTCAGCTGTGCCTGTGCTCATACATCCAAAAGACAAAGCTGCAGCAGTCACCCACGGCAATACCATCCTCTGATTTTACTGACTTTAATGCAATCGTACACACACACACACACACACACACACACACATGAATGTTGAACACATTTGACAATTAAAGGTACACGTAAGAATTTTACAGTGAAGCAATCACAAAACGGTGTACAGTCTTGTTGGTGGGAAGGTTGCATTGAAACAGATTTCCTTATCAGCTGGGTGGGGGGGCTGTCAGTTTTTATCTTTTTAGAAAGGATGAAGAGGGATGTAGTTTTTGTTTACCCTGTGAGCCCGCGGGGATGCCAAGAGTGTGTCAGCCGACATTGCAGCTCCATCATTGTAATTCTACACTGGCTGACTGACTGTAAAGGTCTTAAGCCAGTAAGCAAGAGTGACCCAGAAGTAAGCATGCACTCCTAAGAAACCATGGTATCTTTTTAGTTTTTCTTCTAATATCTGGAAAAGATGGCTAACATTGAGCTAACAATGCTAATGGTGAATAATAAGAAAATTAATGGCTGTAAAAATATATCAAGATAGTTTTTTTTTCAGTTACCAACAACTCACTATTAAAGTGAAATGCATTTATTTCCTTATCAGCTGACTGTGTTTGACTCATCTTTGCTTGTCACCTAAAATCTTCTGTAGCTGAGCTGTAACCCACATGATGGGAGGCAAGGAGTCATCCTGTTGTTTGGGGAGGGGAAATTGACTGCAGTACCTAAGTTTTGCCACAGGATTTTATTTATACTCCATGCATTTGTAAGCTGCTAGAGGAACATGCGTTTAGACACCCCGCTGAAAAAAGAACAGCATAGGCCAATATAGGTGTTACCAACATACAGTGGATATCAAAAATCTTCACACCCCTGGTAAAACGTCAGGTATCTGTGCTGTAAAAAAATGAGATACACTTTGAGATGTGAGCTATAAATGGCACCACTCAATAAAAAAGCTAACTTAAATCTTTTAGGTGGAGGGAGGAAAACCAAAAAATCTCAAACAATGTGGCTACATAAGTGTACACCCCCTCTTACAAGTAGAGGTGTGGCTGGGTTCAGAATAAAGCAATCACATTCAAAATCATGTTAATTAGGGGTCAGCGTGCACCTGGCATCATTTAAAGTGCCTCTGATTAACCCCAAATACAGTTAAGCTGCTCTAGTAGGTCTTTCCTGATATTTTGTTAGTTGCACCCCACAGCAGAAGCATTGGTCCACAGAGAGCTTAGAAAGCATTAGAGGGATTTCATTGCTGAAAGATATTGGTCAGGTGAAGGTTAAAAAAATGATTTCCAAGGCATTATATATACCGCAAAATGCAGTGAAGACAGTCATCATCAAGTGGAGAAAATATGGCACGACAATAATATCACCAAGAACTTGATGTCCTACCAAAATTGATGAAGAGAAGTGATCAGGGAGGCTACCAAGAGGCCTACAGCAACAGGAGCTGCAGGAATATCTGGCACGTACTGGCCGTGTGGTACATGTGACAAAATCTCCTGCATTCTCATCTGAGCTATGGGGCAAAGTGGCAAGATGAAAGCCTTTCCTTATGAAGAAAAACATCTTAAGTCGGGTTACATTTTGCAAAAACACATCTGAAGTCCCCCAAAAGCATGTGGGAATAAGTGTTATTGTCTGGATGGAATTTTTGGTTTGGTGCAAAAACAATACTGCACATCACCAAAAGACCACCATACCCACAGTAAAGCTTGGTGGTGGCAGCATCATGCTTTGGGACTGTTTTTTATTATTATTATTTTTTTTATTGCTGTCAGCTGGAATTGAGGCCTTAGTTGAGATGGAGGGAAACATGAACAATTCCAAATACCAGTCAATATAGGCAAAAACCTTCAGGCTTCTGCCAGAAAGCTGAACATGAGGAGGAACTTCATCTTTCAGTTTGACAATGACCCAAATAATGCATCCAAATCAACAAAGGAATGACTTCAGTTTTGGAACAGCCCAGCCAGAGCCCAGACCTGAATCTGGTGATCTGAAGATGGGTGTTCACAGGAGATGCCCTCACAATCTGATAGTTTTGGAGTGTTTCTGCAAAGAAGAGTGGGCAAGTCTTCAAAAGTCAAACTGTTCCATGCTGATAGACTCATACCCTAAACGACTGAGTAATAAAATCATAAGGTGCTGGAACAAAGTTTTAGTTTAAGGGTTTGCACACTTATGCAACCATATTATTTTAGGTTTTCTGGATTTCTTCCCTCCACCTAAAGGATTTCATTTTTTTCTTCAATTGAGTGGTGTAGTTTATAGGACACAATAAAGGTGGTAAGTCATTTTTGTACAGCACAAGAACCTGGCATTTTACCAGGGGTGTGTAGACTTCTCATACCCACTGTATGTTGTGTTTTGTTGCTGGTTTAGCTGGTAGACCAGCATACGATGCTGGTCCAGTATGCTGGTTCAAGATGGAATGCTTGTCAAGCATCCTGGTCTAGGATGGGATGCTGAACCAGCACACCAGCACCAAAACACAACCTTTGCTAGTTATTTCTTTCAGCAGGGCACAGTACTGAGCTGAATACAATGGTCCCTCACTATAATGTGGTTTACCATTTGCAGCCTTGCATTGTCGCAGATTTGTTTTGTGGAATTTTGCATGTTTTTATTTTTTTTACAACCTACAGGTACAAAGCTTTGAACTTTGAGAGTGTTTAAAGAACTAAATGGGTGAAAATGCCAAGGCCTGTCTGAGAAATGGATATATGTGTCTAGTGAGGGGTTTCACAACCTTAAAACATTTTGTGGAAGTAGAAGAGGAGCGCCCTGTGCCACGGCTGGAGAATATAAGTAATTAGTACTCCCGCATCTTTATATCTAAGAAAACGCGGGTTTCTAAGTGACAAGAGCCTGCAAGGATGGAGTGAGTGTAAGCAAACAACTGTTTACACATGCACACGTGCTTGAATTAATCCTCCCACTGCCTTCATGGGTGACCCCGCAAAGAAAGTTGACCATTAAGCAGGATTGATGGTTCATCCCTTGTGGCAGGGGTGAGGAGTGAGCACCACCTCACCCCTGCCACGTGGACCTCAAGGGATAAACCATCAATCCTGCTCAATGGTCAACTTTCTTTGCAGTCACTCATGAAAACAGTGGGAGGGTTAAACCTGTTGAGAAACAGAGATTATGTGTATTGTCATCTATAACGACTGTAAAAAAAAAAAATACATAAAAAACGAAGCTGATTACTTTGCAGGCTTTGCCCGTTGCAGGTCATTGTTAGAATACAACTCTAATGAGGGACCACCGTATCAATAAATGAGCCTGCAGTTACTCAACGTAGATGCTTCCGAAGTCGACACTGAAATATGTAAACCTGTGTAGATCCATTCTGTTTTGTGTTAACAGGATAGACATATTGATGTTCAGCTCTTGTTAGATTGTGATCAGCTGAGTGACTTTTTCAGGTCACACTTGGCTCTGTGGTGTAGAGCAGCACTGCAAAGCAGAATTGTATTTGTCACAAATGTACTGTGATTGAAGAAAAATGTTCAAATCTGAATTATTGAAATACTTAATCGGAATATTCTGGGTAAAAATCAACAGGAGTTGTAGTTGAGGAAAGAACATCATCACTGTCTGAACAACTAATTGTCTAAGAGGATTTTTGAGTCATGGGATGCTAATTTATTTGAGGTTTCCTAAATTATAACACTTAACAAAGAAAGAAATGTTTAAAATTTGATTCCAAAATTAACTTGGTGCTCAGTGTTTCATATAAATCATAAGGTCTGTGAATATGTTGCTGGTGTTAGGAGCATCATTTGGAAAATCAACTCTGGATATAAGGTGACTGCTGTGTTGCAATGCATCTGTTAGGACTTTCTTTCAGACAATTGGCACCATCTTCAGTAATACAGATTGCAAAGAATGTGTGAGTGAAGTTCACACATGTAGGTGTTTAATTATCACATCTAAATGTGACCCAGATCAACACACTGCACTGTTTTAATCATTTTAGCCTTGCATGCTGAACATAAAGACATTTCCACAGATGGATGCTTCTTTCCTCTGCTTTCAGGTCGCACGCTGTTGGACAGGCTTTGTTTGTTTCATGGTGACGGGTCTGCAGAGGAGGAGGCGAGGGAATTGTGTCACCGCATGCTGGATCATGGTCTGCTGCACCCCTTTAGTGACAGCACCACAGAACATCACAGTGACGGGACAGTCTCTGCAGTGTTCACCGTGAGACCTCCCTCTTCTTCTTAAGCTGACTTAGTTTACAAAACCGAGTCACAATAAATTACTTTGTATCAGCTCGGCCCAAAGCTAAAATCATTTGATTTTGCAGATATTATTTTAGAACTGTAAATGGTCAGGTTACATTCTCAAAATCCATTCTGTATAACTCAGGTGTTAGAAAAATGCACAATGTACGTCTAAAATATGACGCTGCTCAACACAAGTTTCCAACTGATTAATCACTTTGATCTTCTTTTTTTTCTTCTTTTTTTTTAACCCATGGCTCTTCTGCCCCTAATATAAATGTTGTCTGTTGCCATATCTCCCAGAGTTGGATAAGATGGGGACAAAAGTGTTTTGTAACCAACCCACTCATACTCCTTTAGCTTAGCATAAACAATGTAAGTGAATGGTAACAGCTAGTATTTAGTGTGAAAGTCATGGAAATTACTCTGTGGTGATCCTAATTTTTTTTTTCTTGGTGATCTCAAGAATGAAATTGACTGCAAATGAAAACAAGAAGCAACATGAAGGAATTGCAGGAGCTGATTTAGCCTTGGGACTACATTACGACGAATCGCTGCAACAATTTCTTTGTACAGATACAAAACAAAGTGCATCTTCAATGGCGCTAAGTGATGTCGTATTAACTCTAATTCCTTGGATGTTGCAGGGCTATTATAAATTACTGTAACTGATTTTCAGCAAACATTGTCACCTCCAGTTTTACTGTATAAAATATAAATTTCCCTCTATAACAGTAAAACAGGAAGTGTTTGCATTTTGAAGCCACTGCATCCTTTGCCTGCGCCTTGCTGTGGCAGTTGTAATATAGTCCCAAGTGTAAATCAATTCCTGTAATTTGTTCATTTTATAATTTTCCATTTGCAGCTCATGATTGTTGAGGTCACCAGGAAATAGAAGGATCTTTAGTATCACATGCAGTGCTAGCTGTTACCATTCACTTACATTGTTTATGCTAAGCTAAAGCTAATGGGACACTGCCAGATTAGGAAAATGACTGGGCTGGTTTCAAAATGCTTTTTCCCACATCTTTACCTATGGGGAATGTGGCAACAAACTATATTTCACTTAGGTTAAGATGGAATTAGCAAATGTACATAATGTGCATGTTCATGAAACACCCTCACGTGGGGGGAAAGCAGTCACAGCTTTGATGCAATGTGAAAAGATAATCCAGTGTGTGTAACTGGTTCATATCCGATTTAATTTCATTGCCTGAAGAGCAGTGATGCATGAAGACTGGATGGCCATGTGAGAGTTGACTTTATGAATCTTTCATTATTCAGTGCAGTCAGACCTAATCACCAAGTCATCGCATTCACCTGCTCAGTTCATTAGGGTCGTTTGGAGAAACCTCTTTGTAATTAAGTTTCCAGATTTATTCATCTGATTCATATAAAAGGCAGCCATTTCTTGCATGGTAGAATTGAATTCAAGACACTCTGCAAATATTTTACACCTGGCATGTATATGTTTCTGTAGATTGGTGCAAAATTCCTAAAATTTATAATATATTAGTGTTTTTAATACCAGAAACGGAGAATTTTATTGAAAAGTGATTTATATTTTCATTCATTTTTGATCAAAAATATGATTTTTTTTCACCCAACTATTAATGTGATAATGTCTCAGTGAAACAACTGACCAGCGAAATGGATACGGTCAAAAATTCTTCCCCAGACACCATAATCTCTAAAGCTGTTTATCATAGATTCAAAGCTCTCGGATACAAAAACATCCCGTTTCTGCTCGCACACTACACGTTCAACACAAGCTGCATGCGCTGAGTAAAATCACAGTTCCATGCGCAAGTTAAGATGAATTTACATTCAAGACACAGGCATTTTCTTGCAGAATTGGATTAACCGCTCTCCCTCCGACACAGAAATTCTTACACACAAATACACATCTGTGCTTACGTAGACCATCTGCTGACCATGTTATGCAACAGCTCCACGTGCCTCAGGCTCAAGCTGCTCTTCTCTAGCAAAAAGCTCATCATGTCAGGATTGGACAGAGTTGTCCCTGCGCCGATCTTGCCCTGGAGATGTGTATTATTCAGCTTGACCAAAAATAACCTCAGCAGTTGCCATGAAGAGTTAAGATCTTGTAGTAAATCTTCTCTATCTGCTAGCACACCTTTTAAAATGATGTGTCTAGTATTTGATTGGTTTTCTTGTCTTTTTGGAACCAAGCGTTCTTAAATAATCAAAATCGCAATTATGTCTTGATATTGGTGCCAATAAATGACCAACATAAGCTCTGGTTCCCTTGGGTGTGGGTTTAAGCTTGCACCCCACAGATCTCATTAGATGTATAGTTGGGCAGTTGTGTATGTAGATGAGCATACACATCAGCATCTTGTGCCATTTAATCTGTTTCTGGTTAGTTTTTGTATATTTCAAAGTTATCCTGCTGTCCATTGGGAAACCATGGAAATTGTTTTGTGTTGGTGACTGAGTGTAATGGGATGGGGAAGTTGTTAAAGGTGCAATATGTAAGACTTCTACTGTGAAATAATCACTAAACAGTCTAATTCATCAATCATGTTGGAATGAAGGTTGTACTCTAATGGATTTAATTCTCAGCCACCTGGGCCGGGTCAGGTCAGTTTTCGTTCTTTTGAAAATAACAAAAGTGGTACTACCGGAGTCTGAGGTTGCAAAATCTGCAACAAGTTAAAGGGATACTTAGCAACTTTTTCATATTTTTAAACCATTTACTTGAGCCAGCATGTACTAAAATGATAACCCTTAACGGGGTCAATGAAAGGCCACCCAGCGCCTATCTCCCCCTGTGGCCAGTATATTCCACTTGCTACTTCAGACTGGTGTGTCGATCTGTTGTGAAAGTTGAACTGACATACCTGGCGCTGCAGTCTGGTTCCAGCATGTTTGCTGCATGTTTTAGATTGTGAACACAGCTGATTTGTTTAGTTTAGCGATGAATCACTCCTGTGGACTCTGTTGAAGGCTGGGGAGATTAAACTGTTAGTTTAAGTTGTTAAAAAAACGAACAAACAGCAAGATTTTTGTTTTCGGTTCTACAGACACTGGGGGCTGCTAAAAGCTAGCCAAATCTGCCCACTTCCCCTTTAACGCAGCAGTGTCGTCATGTGTAATTCAACACCATTGTTAATACCGACAAGCGTGTCTGCTGAGATTTCCATGTCCTGATATGGGAATGCACATCACTCAGTGCAGCTGCTTGCTGAAGTAAACAGTTAGAATAATATGTCATGAGGCTATTTTTAATACATTTGTACTATTAACATGATTCTTATTTGTTTGCATCCTTACTAAATGATGGTTTATGGGCAAATTTGTTTAAGCACTGTGTGACCTCTAATTAGATTAGGGAACAGAAAAATGTATCTTGACACACATTAAAAAAGTGTTAAAACACGCCATGTCATAAACTGTTTATTTCATTTAGCTGCTCAAAAGCCAAACTTTTTCTAAATGAGCATGGATTAGAAACATGTTCATATTATGAATCTGTTAAAAAAGCCTGGTCACCTACTTCCTCAATATGTATGGTTTCTCGACAGCACTACAATGTGGCAAAAAATATTTAGTCAGCCACCAATAGTGCAAGTTCTCCCGCTTAAAAAGATGAGAGGCCTGTAATTTTCCTCATAGGTAAACCTCAACTATGAGAGACAAAATGAAGAAAAAAAAAGTCCAGAAATAAAGAATTTATTTGCAAATTATGTAAGTATTTGATCTCCTACAAACAAGCAATATTTTTGGACCTGACCTGTAACTTCTATGAGAGGCTTCTTTGTCCTCCACTCACTACCTGTATTAACGGTACTTGTTAGAACTCGTTTTCAGTATAAAAGACACCTGTCCACAATCTCAGTCAAACTCCACTATGGCCAAGACTAAAGGGCAGTCAAAGGACACCAGAAACAAAAATGTTAAATGCCAAAAGGAAATTATTTTCCAATATAATTCTGCCCAACCGTCACAAGCCTCGTGTTTTATTCCACACTGTTGAGACCATGCTGACTGCTCCACAGAGTGATGGTTTAGAACCTTCTTCAGAAGCTTGTGGAACATTTTTTAATTTCTTTTTGGATAAAGTGAATAATATCAAGGCCCTCATATCACCTCCTGTTGTTGATCCTTCAGCCTCAGATCCTTGCTCTGCTGCTCTCAACCAGTTTGAACTTGTGACTTTATATTTTCTCTGTGAGACTGTTGGTCATCTGACGCCCTCAGGTTTCCCTGCCGATACTATTCCACCTCGATTTTTTTTAAGAGGTTTTTTCTGTTCTAGGTCCATCTGTTCTGTCTATTATTAATAGCAGTCTAACTTCAGGTGTGGTTCCTAGAACCCTTAAACATGCAATAGTGCAGCCCCTGATCAAAATGCCTGGTTTGGATCCCACTGTGCTCTCAAATTTTAGGCCCATTTCCAAGCATCCATTTTTATCTAAAATCCTTGAGATAGTTGTTTACAACCAGTTAAAATCTTTTTTAGATGATAACAATGTTTTGGAGATTTTTCAGTCAGGTTTTAAGTCTCTTCACAGCACGGAATCTGCTCTGTTGAAAGTTTTTAACGACATCCTCCTTGCCACAGATGTGGGAGATTCTGTAATGTTAGCTCTCTTAGACTTGACTGCCGCTTTTGACACAGTGGACCATAATATTTTAATGGCACGCTTGGAGCAATGTGTCGGGATTCGTGGCACTGCCCTGGAGTGGTTCAGATCATGTCTGGCAAAGATAAGTTTCTGTGTCAGCTTAAACAGTTTCCACTCTTCCTCTGCTCCATTGTCATGTGGGGTTCCTCAGGGCTCAATACTTGGTCCTCTACTTTTTAGTTTGTTTGCTGCCTCTAGGGTACATTTTTAGGAAGCACAAAATTGCCTTCCATTGCTATGCAGACGATACATAGATGTATCTCCCGCTAAAACAACGGGATGGCTGCAGTATAAAATCTCTAGCTGTTTGTTTGGATGAGGCAAAATCATGGATGGCTTTTAACTTTTAATGAGAAAAAGACAGAGATAATTGTCTTTGGTACTGGTACCTTGAGCAGGCCCACTCCTTTGGACTTAGGCCCCCTGGCACTGCACAGAAAGCCAACAGTGACCAACTTGGGCCTTAAAATGGACAGTGATTTTAGGTTGGACAGTCAGATCAGTGCTGTTGTCAAATCCAGCTTCTTTCATTTGAGACAGTTGGCAAAGGTTAGCACATTTTTGACTAAAGAGGATTTTAAAAGTGTAATCCATGCTTTTATTACAGCTCGTCTGGATTACTGTAACTCTTTGTATTTTGGTATGAGCCAGTCCTCACTGTCTCGACTTCAGCGTGTGCAAAATTGGAAACAAAACCAAAACTGGTACAGGGACGAGTGAACACATCACTCCTGTTTTATTGTCACTGCACTGGCTTCCTGTCCATTTTAGGGTCCATTTTAAACTTTTATTTGTTTTTAAGTCTTTAGCGTAAGCTCAGAGGAGATAGGGCCTTCGCTGTTGCTGCTCCCAGACTATGGAACTCTTTGCCGGCACATCTTAGAAAGGCCTCCTCACTGGAAACTTTTAAATCATCTTTAAAGACCCACCTTTTTAGCTTGGCTTTTAACACCGTATAAAGTTTTTGATTTCTATTTGATTTTAGTGTTTTATTTTTGTGTGCTTTTAACTTTATACTGTATTCTATTTTATTCTGTTTCATGCTTTTATGTTTTTATATTCAGCACTTGGTCAGTAAGCGCTGTTTTTAAAAGTGCTTTATAAATAAAGTTGCCTTGGCTTGGCTTGTAGACCTGCATCAGGCTGGGAAGACTGAATCTGTAATATGTATGCAGCTTGGTGTGAAGAAATCAACTGTGGGAGTAATTATTAGAAAGTGGAAGGGATGCAAGACCACTGATAATCTCCCTCGATTAGGGGCTCCACATGGGGCCAAAATGATCACAAGAACTGTGAGCAAAAATCCCAGAATGACACGGAGAGGCCTGGTGAAAGTTACAAATGCTAGGGACTTAAATCCTGCAGTGCCAGACGTGTCCCCCTGCTTAAGCCAGTGTGAAGGCCCGTCTGAAGTTTGTTAGAGAGCATTTGGATGAACCAGAAGAGGATTGGGAGAATGTTAGATGAAACAAAAATAGAACTTTTGGTATAAACCGTAGCCATCGTGTTTGGAGGAGAAATAATGATGGGTTGCATCCAAAGAACACCATACCTACTGTAAAGCATGGTGGTGGTAACATCATGCTTTGGGGCTGTTTTTCTGCAAAGAGACCAGGGCGACTGATCCCTGTAATGGAAAGAAAGAATGGGGCCATGTATAGTTGGAATTTGAGTGAAAACATCCTCCTGGCATTGAAGATGAAACGTGGCTGGGTCTTTCAGCATGACAATGATCCCCAAAGATGCCGCCTGGGTGATGAATGAGTGGCTTTGTAAGAAACATTTCAAAATCCTGGAGTGGCTTAGCCAGTCTGTAGATCTCAACCTTATAAAAAAAATCTTTGGAGGGAGTTGAAAGTGCTTGTTGCCCAGCAACAGCCCCAAAACATCACTGCTCTGGAGGAGATGTGCATGGAGGAATGGGCCAAATACCAGTGACAAAGTGTGAAGACTTACAAAAAACGTTTGACCTCTGTTGGCAATAAAGGTAACAAAGTACTGAGATGAACGTTTGATATTGACCAAATAATTATTTTTCCAACATAATTTGCAAATGAACCCTTGAAAAATCAGACCAAGATATTTTCTGGATTTTTTTTCTGATTTTGTCTCTCATAGTTAAGGTTATGGACATTACAGCCCTCTTTTATTTCTAGGTGGGAGAACTTGTACAATTGGAGACTGACTAAACACTTTACTGGAGAAAAAAATTAACATATTACCCATAAATAAACTTCCCCCAGATGGGGCTTCATGTGGGGTATTCATTTTAAAATATTTAAAAGATGTAAAGAAGGAAAGTATCACATTTAACAAACCAATTCTGCTTGAACAATGCACATTCAAAAAAAATAATACTGATAGATAAAATTTTGGACCGAGCTCAAATAATCATGGTTCTTCTCACTGTGGAAAGTTTTGCATAGAAAGACCTGATGGTGAACGTTGGTGTAAAACAGTAATTGTCAGGTTTTGAACTTGTGTGCAGGAGGAGCAGCTCTACACCTGGGCGTCTGTTGGCCTCCCAGTTTCCTCCAACTTGTGGGAGCTCTATGGAGGGCGATCTACAGGCCGAGGTCTGAGATCCCCTTTGCATCGATCAATGTCCAAGACTACTGGAGGGCTTCACTTTCAGGTTTGTCACGCCTGTCCTGTTCACTATTTTAACAGCAAGTTTGCCTACTTAGTGCATTTATCTTTTAATACATTCTTCTGGAATTATTTCAGTGAACTTTCTCCTGAAAAGATTGCCCCCAAAAAAATATTAATGAAATAAAAATTATCAATATAAGGATCTCAGGAAGATGACAAGCTTTCTTAAAAAACCTCCATACTCTCTAAGCTGTGATTTATGTTTGTCCACTAGAGGGCAGACTTGTTCAGAGAAAGCTGTGAAGCTGTGCCAGAGGAGCTCCCTGTGTCCTGAAATAGATTTTTTTTAATGATAATTTTAACTGAGGATTATTCTTAGGATTTAACCATGTGATCTGTTTTGAGGGTTTACAAAAGAGGCTCAGTGAGACTTGCTGTCTCTCAGGTTAAATCTCCTCTCATCCCTGCTTTATACTCCGGAGCCACTGATGGGGTCCAGACATTATGGACTTTTCTTGACCTTCTTAAACTGATAGCTTTGTTTCCATCTTTGTAAACTGTATTTTACAGTAAATGCAATTAATTTTTTTCATAAAGTCGTGTTTTTTATTTCACTCATTATGCGCTTTTTAGCCGTTTGAATAAGATTGTTCTTTTCTTTTTCCCTCTTTCTGGTTGCCTGACAGACAGAATCCAGCAGGTTGAAGGTGGCAGGACAGTCGTCCCCTGAGGATGAAAGTGGTCTAATCCCTCAGCTGGAGAGGACAATCGATGACTTGAAGAATAAAATTGCTGCGTTGCAGAGCCAGCAGGCCTCCTTGGCAGAGAGCAATGAGGATAAGATGGGAGCGCTGGGAAATGCCTCTGAAGGGACGTTGAAAATGAGGAGAGAAAAGCTGGGGATGCTGTGCCAGGAGGCATCTGTCCAGACGTCCCCTGTGGATGAGAGGGTCAAATTTGAAGTGACATTTAATGAAGGACCGTACCGCCTGGGTTCTGAGAAGGGCTTTGTCTGCACTTGCCCAAAAAAGCTGCAGGGTAGCATCCATCCAGGTCCTCCACCTCTGCCTCTCCCATTAATTTCAGGTTGTTTGCCTCCACCTCCTCCACCACCTTTCCCCCCTCAATCCATATCTGGCATGGGACCACGTCCTCCTCCTCCTCCACCACCACCTCCCCCTCCACCACCAGGTTTTGGCCCTCCTCCTCCTCCTCCTCCTCCACCTGGTTTCGCACCTCCACCACCACCTCCTCCTCCACCAGGAATGGGCCCCCCTCCTCCACCCCCAGCTCCAGGCTTTGGCTTTCGACCTCCTCCGACAGCTCAGGAAGCCGTCCCTGCCAAACCTGTGATAGAGCCCCCCAAGCCAATGAAGCCACTCTACTGGACCCGCATCCAGCTGCACACGAAGAAGTAAGCTGTGCAGCAGAAAGTAACGATAGATATGGATCATTCGTGCAAAGATAGTAAAGACTTGAGAGGAAGCTTGTCCACTTAAGATTAGGATCAGCCACATGCTGCGATGGTAACCGAGATGCTAGCCTTGTGGAAAAGGAAAGCGATGCAATCCAGTAATTGTGGTCAGCAGAGAATTGACTTGAACCAGGTTTTCGTTCCTTATTAGAGCTTGGAAAAATAGAGCTGCCTGAAAGTCTAAAAATACACGTCTTAATTTTTAGCTGCATATGAGGAACTTAATAGTGAATTTGACGACTGATGGATTTGACAAGTTTGTACCTTCTGGACTTTTACTTAGCAATGAAAAAGACTACTCATAAAACAGCTTTGGGGTACTTTTTCAGCCACAGAGTGACAGATTAAAACTCTTCCATTTAGTAGTTTATAATTTCTTTCATCCCTCAGAAACACCTCACCACTGGTGTGGGAAACAATCGATGAACCAGCTGTAGAGTTTGGAGAATTTGTGGAGTTGTTCGCCAAAGGTGCTGTGAAAGAAAAGAAGAAGCCAATTTCAGACACAATCAGCAAGGCAAAAACCAAACAGGTGAGTGTTCAGTCCTGCAGAACTTCATCTGTGATTTTATATATATATATATATATATATATATATATATATATATATATATATATATATATATATATATATATATATATATATACATATATATATATAATTTTGTATACAGTTTTAAATGCATGCATGTATGAGCAGGTTCCAAGCTCTTGTTTTAGGGTTTTCATGAATCTTCCCTTTCACTCCCATTCCTCGTTCCTCTCCATTTCTCCTCGCTGTCGCTCCCAGAGTTGCTCTGAGTGGCAGGAGGAACTGCTGCAGCCAGACAGTTATTATGTGGTGTGAGCTCTGGCTCCCAACCGACTCCCTTGTGACCATCTAGCGGCATTGAGGCAAAGACTCGCGTGCGGTGAGGAAACCTCATGACCACGATGACTGCTCAGAAAGGGAGAGCGAGGGAAGGGGAATAAGTAAGGGCGAGAGAAGCTTGGGAGTTATATTTCACTGCATGGTTCCTCCCATTGTGCTTTCTGTATGACTCTGTTTAATAGCCAGACCCAGAACTCTTTGTCATTCCATCAATTTCCATTTGATCTACGGTTTTTATGTCGATCTTTAAATTGATGTGCTGTTCGTCAAATTTATGGGTTGAAATCACCAACACTGTTGCTCAAGGGAAGAATGTTACCAATCTAATTGAGACTCTGAGGAATTGGCTGTAGTTTCCGCTGAGACAAACCGTGGGCCTAAAGCATTAACCTCGCTGGGAAATGTTCTATTTTGAGGAATGTCAAGCTCAAATGTTAAACTGTAGCATATAAAACGTTGATATAAAAAGGTCCAAGTTTAAACGGATTATGATCAAAAGAAACACCAAAGAAGAAAGAAGAAAATATAATTTCTATAGCGCCTCAAGATAAAAATCACGAGGCGCTTCACAAAAACAAAAAACTGTAAAAATATAAAAAAGAATTTAGAAAATGGTTAAAAATATATTTAAAATGAGCAAAAATAGACAATTGTGATTGAAAAAAATTTTAAGAAAGAGGGAGTGAAAAAGAAAGAGGGAAATCAGTGGATACTGAGGAAGGTGGAATAGGTGGGGAGAGCAGAATAAAGAGAGAGTGGTGAAGAAGTTCATACAAAAGCCAGCTTGAACAAGTGAGTCTTCAGCTGCTTTTTGAAGGAGACCACTGAGTCCACTGATCTCAGCCTCAGGGGGAGAGAGTTCCAGAGTCTGGGGGCCACAGCAGCAAATGATCTGTCACCTTTGGTCTTTAGCCTGGTGTACTGCACAACCAGTAGTCTTTGATCACTGGACCTCAGGGACCTGCTGGGGGTGTAGGGACTAAGAAGATCACCAATGTAAGATGGTGCTTGTCCATGTAAGGCCCTATAGACCAGAACCAGGATCTTGAAATGAACCCTGAAGTTGACTGGCAGCCAATGAAGCTGGAGGAGAAGCGGGGTGATGTGGGTGTGTTTGGAGGACTTGGTCAGAAGCCGAGCACAGGCATTCTGAACCACCTGTAGACGGTTCAGGGAGGTTCTGCTCAGACACGTGAAAAGAGAGTTACAGTAGTCTAAGCGTGAGGAGATGAAGGTGTGGAGAACTGTCTCAAGTTCAGAGTGGGACAGAATGGGACTCAGCTTAGCAATGTTCCTGAGATGGAAGAAGGAAGAGCGAACAAGAGAACTGACATGAGAATCCAGGGTGAGAGCCGGGTCAAAGGTCACAACAAGATTCCTGACGGAAGGTTTGGTGTGAGAAGCAAGCTGACCAAGAGAGTCTCTGACTTTGGGAACCAGCTTGTCTGGGGCACAGATGAGGATCTCAGTCTTATCTTCATTCAGCTGAAGAGAGCTCCCAGCCATCCAGGTTTTGATAGAGTCTAAGCAGGTGTGTAACAACTGCAGCTTAGACATGGGGCTTAAAGGAGATGTACAGTTGGATGTCATCTGCATAAAGATGGCAGGAGATTCCTTTGAAGGAGCTCAGGATATGCTGAAGAGGAAGCAGATAGAGGAGGAAGAGCAGAGTCCCCAGCACAGAACCTTGTGGGATGCCATGGGTAAGGGAGGTGGTGGAGGACCTAAACTTGGAGACGGCCACAGAAAAGGAGCGCTCAGAAAGAGAAGAGAACCACTCCAGAGCAGTTCCTGATAGGCCTACCCAGTCTCTCAGCCTCTCCAGTAGCAGGTGATGGTCAACAGTGTCAAAGGCTGCAGTCAGGTCCAGCAGGACCAGAACAGAACAGTCCCCTGCATCACTGTGAGTCAGAAGGTCATTGGAGACCCCAAGAAGAGCTGTTTCAGTAGAATGAGCTCTACGAAAACCTGACTGGAAGCTATCATAGATGTTATGTTCATCAAGAGCAGCTGTGAGTTGTTTAGCCACAACCTTTTCCAAGATCTTGGAGATGAACGGAAGTTTAGAGATGGGTCTGAAGCTGCTATGGAGAGAGGGGTCGAGACTCGTTTTTTTAAGAAGCGGGTGGATTACAGCGTTCTTAAAGTAAGCAGGAACCTGACCAGAAACCAGAGAAGCATTAATTATAGAGAGCACGCTGGGACCGATGGACTGAAAAGCACTTTTAAACAAAGATGAGGGTAAGATGTCGAGGGGGCATGCAGAGGTCTTCATAGAGTTAACTAGTTTGGTTAACTCGGGCAAAGAAACAGGAGCATAGCTATCAAACGATGCAGTAATGAAAACAAAGAGGGGAAATAAAAGCTGTGTGGCTGGTTTACAGGCAGAAAATGTGGTTATTACATAAGTCAAAGGATTTGATCATTTCTCTTTCTGTATATTTAGATCTGAGGTGTCGGAGGTTTGACATATTTTAAGCAAACCTCCCCAGTCATGGCCTATATACTTTCTGGGTTTGGAGTCAACATTTGTTTGATCTATTCGAGTCAGGAGGCTGCAGTTTAACATGCATGTGTGTCTGTGATGCTCTAACAGCATCTGTGTGTGAGATTTGGGGGTTCAGCCAGTGAACAACTATTCCTGATTGCTAACGTTCTTGCTCTACTTCTCAAAGAGAAACCATTTTTTTACTTATTTTTGAAGATCATCAGTGACTCTGAGTTAGTCATGCTGGCTGAGCGTAAAAATGGTCTTCTACCCCTATTTCCTGCATTAGCTTCTGATAGAAAATAAATGGATAAACTGTTGGTTCAGATAAGCCTGACAGATCTATGTCACACTGTCACTTAACATCCATGGACTCACCCATCTGGATTCACGATGGGGAAGGCTGTTGTTGGTTTAGTGTCCAGGAAACAGCAGTTTGTTGTTAGTAGAAGATAACCGGTAGCGTTAGCAACTCCACCACACAGCAGAATCCTCCAGGCTTGTATTATTTGTGGAGATAAAACATCAAAGTTGCAGAGCCAACTGAGTCGCTGTTACTCACATTGCTGTTATCCAGTCAAAGGTCAGATGTCCAAATATCAGGAAATAAAAATCCAAAACCTGCTTTCTTTTCCAGCTGACTTCTATGAGCTCAAACGGATGCACCAGAGCCCGCCCCACCACCACCCCTCCCCCCACCTAAAATGCATTCATTCATGCCTTCTAGAGACCATTGCAGATGTATAGTCAACGTTTAAATATCTACTGACAGTGTTGGAGAAAACCTTCTGGTCTTCTTTTTTTTTATTTTTATTTTTTTTCATCACCAGTGTCTTCATCCTGTTTTAGTAATAAATCATGTTTTCTACATCTGCACCCATTCTCATCTTCCTATATGCTTCAATTCAAAACTATTGTACTATTGAGCAGCTTTGACGTCAGCGTGGAACCCTACTGACATTAGTAATAATTGTCAGTAATCATTATAATTGCAACCCGCCGTGTCTTAGCTTATTTTTGGGGCGGGGGAGTAGTTGGAATCCTACCTTTTCAGAGTCGAATTAGTATATTTGTGCTTTACAAGCTGTTATTTTCATCTACTCAAGACAAAGAATGGCAGCGTGCAAAGAACAATAACTCTTTTTCGTTCCGCACCTAATTTTTTTTCACTTCTGATTAGATTTTTTTTTCACTTGTATTTCTTTAATATCTTTTGCTCAGTCTTTAACATTTAGAATGGAAAATTGTGAAAATGATACCAATAACTAAATATGGACAAGAAACGATGCAGAACTTGATAGATATTTTACTAGGACCAAAAGAAGCTCAGTGGAGAAATGAACATTTTTCGTCCTTGTGACTGCTTTAAAAATTAGTTACTCAATTTTTTGCTTTGTTCAAAAATGCATTGCATTTCCTCCCTCAACAAAAAAGGACTGAATGTCTCAAGATGTGCATTTACATGAGCTTCATAGTTACTTATGGCATCCTTGAGAAGGACACACAAGGTTATTGTACACAAAGAATTGAATAATAAAACATAATAAGCTTGTTCTGCATGTGTGATCAGATTCAACCAAATGATTCTCCTATAGAGCAACAGTTCCTAAAGTTAGGGTCAAGACCTCGCTGTGGGTCACTGAGATGGACCTTGAGATGATTTCCAAAATTCTAAATAAAAGAAAACAATTGCTGAAGCTGCATTTCTAGCATAACTGTTACAAAACCACAACTAAAAGGTCACAAATGAATATACATTAGATGAAAATGAGCTAAACTGTTAAGCCTTTTGAGCACTTTTTTGTTGTCAAATCAGAGGTATCTGAGGTCAGGTGTATTAACCATTTCTATTTTGTGTGTTTGAAACTGAAAAATTTGGCAACCATTATCAAAAAGAATAAAAAGGTGTTTAGGTATGTTTCAGAAACCAGCTGTGTCTGACAATGCTGTTAAAGGAGCTATGTTAATATAAACTCTAAGGTTCAGCCAAAGGGCTACTTGTGGTAATTCTGAGCGGCCTTCAGGTGCATTTCAGGAAAAGTAGTACAATGTTAGTGGCGATAGGGGGAAAGTACATACTTAAGTCATTGCAAACAAGCAGTATTTTTGTGTTCGAGTAAAACCTTACCAACGGTTTGCCATTAGGGTCAAAAATGCCTGGGAGCAAAACTTCCGGCAAAATGACAAGAACATCAAACTCTTTCATCGCTGGCAACTCATGAAGAGGTAAATGTATAAAACAACAATGTCAATGAATGGTGAATGTTTTGTCATTGTTACAAATCAGTAAATGCATTTTGTCCTCATGGGCTACTGTAGCATCTCCCAGTGACTTAGACCCGCTCCCATGCATTTTAGACCTGATTTCTATAGGTATACTTTACGAAGACACCAATATTTTTTAACATCTGGGCATGATTTAATTTATTTTCAACAATATTTTGATGGATATTTCCAGAGATTAGTGGTAATTAATGCAATGATCAATATTGCAACATGAAAAACCACATGACTTCAGTAGAAATATTAAAAATAAAAACATTTGCCACAAACATATCAACCATGGGTCCAGATGTTGTCATGAAACTACCAGGAGCTTAGTTGTTGTTGCTGCTTTTTAACCAGTCTTCTCCTACTACAGATATCACCTCCTCACCAGTCAGCATCTCATCTTAGTCAGCGTACCCGCTGAAGTAGTGGCTGGGGTCAGGAAAACAGACATTTGGGCCTGGTGATATAACTTCCTGTATGTTTATGAGGTCTGTGGTCTGTCTGATCTGGTTTCAATGGAAGCGCTCTGTCTGGATCACAGCAGGCTTTAGGTTTCCTGCGACGTCCGTTCACTGCTCGGCAAACCAGCGCCAGCTTTTGCTTACTCAGATAAGCTGTAGTTCATAAAATCTCCTCTGGATTTGGGTATTAAACCATAATGACACACTCCTGAGGAAGTAAAGGAGCAGTTGTTCAGTTCTAGCTAATTCTGTAGCTTTTTTAGTTTTTTATTCCGTATATTTTACAATGAATTTAATAGACGTGGTTCCCTTTTTAATTTATTTATTTGGGGGAGGTCTATGCCCTTCACTGAATAAATTGAAATTCCATCCAAACCATTTTGTGAGGCTTTACAACTTTAATCAGTTCCAGAGATTGAATGATAATGCTTTAAGCCTCTTGTTTTTAATCACCTTATGGAATTTCAACGGATGTGGACAGCATTATGATTTTCTTATCTGTGGGCGAAAAATAATTTGTCATCCCACAAAACAAAAACCACTGTTTTGTCTTTGTTTTCCAGTCAAGCAACACTTTTTTAAACTTTGTGTTTGCTTATGTGTACCTGGTGTCTTCTGCACATGGTCCTCATCTTTGTTTTTAATGATCTGCTGTAAACTTCCAGCCGCCATCTTTGTGTTTTTGTTTCTAAGGTGGTGAAACTGTTGAGCAACAAACGGTCACAGGCCGTTGGAATCCTGATGTCCAGCATCCATCTAGACATGAAGGACATCCAGAATGGTGAGTGTTATGAAGCAATACTCAGTATATAAATTTGACAAATTCTGCTGGATTAGATTTAGATGTTATAAAATACTGAACATGCTGTGTACATGTGTGCGTGCATGCACATTTTTATGTAGTGATTGGCATTATCTTATTTTTGAATAATGATGTGATATACACAGTGTGAGGATTCACAATAAAATGCATAATTATACTTTATTTAGGGGGTGAGAATTTAACGCGTTACTTACGATTAATTCATTAGGGGGAAAAAATGCATTTTTAAAAATGTAAGCTTGAGCCTGACCTTTTAGCATCACAATTTATGCCCAATACATCAATAAATGTCAAGCTGCAGCTCTAAAAATGGCAGAGCCTGGACTGCAAAACCATATGGGCTGCATGGTGGCGCAGTGGTTGGCACTGTTGCCTCGCAGCACGAAGGTTGCAGGTTCGAAACGCGGCTGCGGCCTTTCTGCGTGGAGTTGCGTGTTCTCCCCATGCCTGCGTGGGTTTCCTCCGGGTACTCCGGTTTCCCCCACAGATCACAACATGCCCTATAGGTTATAAATTGTGTCGCTTTGGACAAAAGTGTCTCCTAAATGAATAAACATAAACATATAAACCTTTTTATGCTCTCCAACCACAACTAAAACTACAGTTAAATGAAATTGTTCTTCTTGAAGAAAAGAAGAAAAATAAATCAACTGTTTCACTATTATGTAGTAGGTTGAAAGTAGGCAGGCAGTTACTTTATCCATGTGAACTTTATCACAGCAGGAGGGAAAAGCATACACTCAGCATTCATCTTGTTACGCTCAGCCGAACTTCACCTGAACTCTACACTGGACCTCTATATAAGTAGTGTTCTGCTGCCACCCAGTGTTCAGTTCAATACACATTTACAATGTTTCCATGTATACATCAGTAACACAAACTAATATTCACACATCCCAACAAATCCAACAAAGATTACCTTTATAATGAAACCACATCAATCAAACAGACCTTGTGGTTACAGAAATATACTCATTAAAGTGTGGGTATGTCATCTGTGCCTCACTGACATGTTTTATTTTAACCATTTACTCATTCACTGCCAGCCATTTTCTGATCAGAAGCCCCTGACTGCCAGTGCTTTTGAACATTTTTACTGTTTTAATTTGAAGAGTTACAGAACATTGTGCTCTACGATCACGTAAACATCACGTAAACAACAAGACTATCAAAAAAATAAGTAGACTCAATTCTTGCGTCAGGAAGAATTGCATGTTTCCAGCTTTTTCCATTCTTTCACAATCCATTGAAGTGTGAGCTGCAGAAGATTTTCTAGTTAGCGCCTCGTTCCCCCCCCCCCCCCCCCCCCCCCCCCAGCAGCTTCCCAAATCGATCTCATAATTCGTGCTTCCTGCTCAGGTGGTGTTTGACACACATGGATGGAGATCGGCTTTGGAGCCGTAATGTTTACTCTCAAGGTGCGGGAGCTGGTTCCCAAGTCTGCCTCATTAAACAATGCAATTGATGACTTTAATTCTCAATGGCAGTGAATGAGTTAAAATGTGATTAAAAAGATTAATTACAAGGCCCCTGATTAATTAGATATTTTAATCATGTCCCAACCCTAGTTTAATTTAATTATTAATAAAAGTTATAACTTCATATAATTGTTTTATGTTAGAATTTTATCATAATACGTTTTTTAAACGTTATCTTTTTTCACATGATTGCAGCAAAAACAGCCATTTATTTTTTTCTATGTCTAGCTTAATTTATTCCTGAATTATTTAAATGTTGATCGTGTCAGAAATGGAACATTTCTGAGAAGAAATGTCAAATTTTGTCAAGAGGATTTAGAATGTTCATAAAATCTTAAATGTGTACATTTTAAAGAGAAAGACCATTTCTGAATACTCAAGGACACTCAAGTTCTTGTGTACTAGACATGTATGTTCTTGGAAAGGACTCCAGAAAGTTTTTTTTCTACTGAGTACAGGAAGACGAGGATGACATTTGGAACAGAACCATACTCCGTTGTGTCCTGGCAACAAGCGTTGCTTCTTGCTACAGTTGAAGTGGAACTGCACACCATCAGAAAATGTAACTCCACCCCTAGTCAAGATTTTAAAAATGCCATGAAAGTGGGCGTTGCCAGGAGGCACAGAGTGTCATGGCCAAGTGTGGGGAATTTCCATCCTGGGAGGGAGGGGGAGTGGGAGGAGACTGTACCGATGACGTGAAATTGTACCAGCGCCAGTCAATCACAAGTTTAAAATGCAGTAGCTGCTGTTATCCTACGGGGGGGGGGGGGGGGGGGGGGGGGAGAGAGACATTTTTAGACTTAGATTCTAGATTTAATCAAGTTTACACAAACATTTCAAAAAATGCACAGGAACAGAAAGATTGCATTTGTAAAGACTCAATTATACAGTTAGCAAAAAAAAGTTATTTTGGGGTTTAGTTACTCTTTAAAAAACAACCTGACATAAAAATAAAAGTCTAATTTGTTCCTTAAATGACTAAATATCAAAAACGTAGTATTTGTTTAATATTTGGCCCACTTTTGATCGGAACTAATAAAATATTAGCATTTCCCGCTCTTTAAAGAATTAAAAAATGTATTTTTCATCAGAACAGACCTACGGTGCTTTTATTTTGATAGTGGATTAGCTCATTAGCATTTTGAAGGATCATGAAGAGTAAAACCCAAACACCCAGCAAAATTTAGAGTTTACACAAAACTGTTTACAGTAACAGACAACTTTCAATTATTTCATTTATATTTCTAATATAAAACATTCTAGTCATTAGCTTTGTCCTCTTACGTTCAGAGTTTAATGGTTTATGATGCAATGCACTATGGGAAACTTTGCTGTCCCAAGTCTGCAAAAGGATGCACTGATGCATCCTTGATACAATGGGGGGAGCAAGAACACATCCAGGAACTTTAAGCAAACTTGCCATGATGCATACTTAGGATTGGAACAGTCCTTGGGCCATCATTGATGACGTTTCACAAGGACATGGGTACACAAGTTCAGCCAAGTATGCCTATTGAGAAACGACCCAAGTCATCCTCTACAGGAAACTTACTCCACTCCCACTTAATCATGTAACAACTGTTTAAAAAATGCAACTAATGCATTGGCAGACCGAGAGGGCAGAGCCGCGAACAAATACACACAAACAGGCTCACAGCAGCATTGTGACATCATAATGCACCAGCCAATGTCATAGTGTACCTTTTAGCTAATCGCGATGGCCGATTTTTATTCAAATGTAGTGCAGAGTTTTTATCTGACAATGGCGCAACACTGACAGTTTTAGGCATAATATTTAAATTTAAGACACACTAAAATGCCCAATTACTGACTTCATGTGTCTACAGCACAATTAGATACTCATTTATATAGTTTATTAGCAGTGTTGGGAGTAATGCGGTCCAAAAGTAATTAATTACTGTAATGCATCGCTTTTTGCTGTAATGTGGTAATGTAAGGCATTATAGGGAAAGAAAATGGTAATATTTACTCGGTACAATTGTCAGTAACGCGGTAATTACAATGCATTTTTAAACCCAGAATCAAGATGTGTTCCTTAAAAATTCAAATTGCGGGAAACCCGAAGAAAGATCCAGTATCTGCATATATTACGTCATTTATGGACTCAGCTTTGCAGGCAGAGAGGACGCAGCGGTAACGGCTCAACTACTCCAGCTGCGTCCTGCACGCAGCTGCTGCAACATTCACAAAATTGCTCCACTAAAACAAAATAATTCACTTGAGATCGTTCATATCGGTGCATATTCTCTGCTATTTTGTGCTTTTCTGATGTGCTTTGCCTCAGCTGAGTTCATAATCTGTGCCCCGGTGATTTCAACTCATTGCTGCTGGAGCGCCGCGCATGTGAAGATCCCTTTGGCTGATCGTTAGAAAGTAGGAAGTCTAGGAAACAGTTTTTTCTGGAAGACGGAGAAAACATGCAGCATGCAGGATAGAGAAAGGGCCGGAAATTATTCAAATAAAATCAAGAAAACAAAACAAAGTGCTTGAAAAGAAAAAAAGTAGGTAGATTTATCCTCAATACACATTTTTACCAGTGAAAAGCAATAATATATAAGCATTTAATATTTATACATGTGATAGAATCAGATCACCCCAGAAGTCAGTCCCACATTCAGGGCCGTATCAAGGCATTTGGGGACCAAGGTAAATATAGAATTGGAGCCCCCACCACCTCACTCCCTGATCAGTTAATATAAGATGGCAGCGTGCCGAGAGTACAGTTTGTTGCTTTCATTTAATAAACAATCATTTTAAAGCACTGTTATTATATCTGACTGTTTTTAACAGCAATCCTAGCTCGGACACCACATCACTTTCCATATAAATGTCATGAGCTCACTGAGCGTCACATGACCAGATTCATATTGAAGTTGTATTGGTAAAAGTAACTTAAAGTAATGCAAAAGTAGTGTAATGCCTTACATTTTAAAATCAGTAATATTGTGTTGGGGTTATTCGGTAGCGAACAATTAGTAAGCGTTAACTTACTTTTGGATTCTTCAATAAATTCTGTAAATATGGGAATATTTACTGATTTATTAATTAATTAAGATATTCTTAGATATCTCCGGGGCACCACCCTTTAATTAGAAAGGGAAATGAATCCAAAACCTTATCAGTCTTTCTTGAAGTTCGTATAATCCTTGGAGCAGAGACTTCTCTTCGACACAACAAAGCTACTGGACACAAAAATCTGAATTTTATAACATTTAATTAAACAATTTGTCAAATGAATAAACAATGAAATAAATGAATAATAACCGTGTGATATGATTGAAGATGGATGTGTTTGCGTGTGATGGAGGATGTATGAATGGGGTTCTTTGTTCTCACAAAGGAGTAGTGTGTGTGTGTGTGTATGTGCGTGTGTATGGATTCAAAATGGAGTCTTGAATACAAGATGGCTGACCCCTTTGTCTGGCTAAAGTGTGGGTGGCAACTTGCACTTTAACT